AAACTTGTATGAACCTTGCCACTGAAGTTTTCTAACCTCGCCATGTGAGGTTCTGTCAAGTTTCAGGGAATTTTGGGAGATATATATATATATATATATATATATATATATATATGTTACGGGCAATGTGCGGGAGGCGGGCAATGTCCGAGAATGCCCGGGCATTGTCGACAATGCCCAAAATCAGTGGGCATTGTCGACATTGCCCTGTTTTTTTCGGTCAATGTCGAAAATTATTTATAAAATTCTGTTTTCTGGGCAATGTCGACAATGCCCAGTCCATTTTGGGCAATGTTGAAATGCATAAAATTTTTTAATAAAAAATAATTTGTAATATAAGTAAATATTTCATCACTTGTTAAAACTGAATAATTGAATAATATAATCAATTTAACGCTGTTTACTAAATTCTGAAGAATTTTTATTTGTGCAGTCAATTCAATGGATTTATTTGCAATCATTTTGTGTGCCCCAAAAGGAGGACTTTTCGTCATTTTACGATATCAAACATAAGTATAGACTTCATTGTGATACTCGGCTGTAATTCTTAATTTTTAATATTTAATGTACTAAAATAATGTTTTATAATTGTAAAGAAAAAAGTTTTAATAAATTTTGTACTTAATTATCAATTAATTTTATTATTTCTACAAAAATATTAATTAAGGTGAGAAAAATTTATTTGATCAACGCTTTGTTAGTACAACAAATTATTTTGCTGTCAAAAAAACGGACAGACAATTGTGCTTACATGTCTTGTGAGGAATATGAAAGTTACATTAAAAAAGTGGACCAATTAAAGTTATGCGAAAAAAAGGATTCGAGGAGTTACAGATTTTTAAAAAAATACGACACAATTTCCGTGAACGGAAACAAGAAATTAATTAGACCTATTAACAGTGACAGTGAAAATAAATATTTCGGGCATTATTTTCTAATAACATGTTACTTATTTATAATAAACAACATTGCCCAAAAATTAGTGGGCAATGTCGAAAATGCCCGGGCATTGTCAACAATGACCGGGCATTGTCAACCTTTTGTAAACGTTTTTAAAAATAAGTGGGCAATGTCGACAATGCCCACTGATTTTGGGCATTGTCGACAATGCCCGGGCATTCTCGGACATTGCCCGCCTCCCGCACATTGCCCGTAACATATATATATATTAAATAAAGAAAATATTTTCTTGACTTGAGAAAACTTAAGGAGTTCAACCAAAAAAATATTTTTCCAATACAAGTAAACATTTACTTGAATTACCCCTACCCCTCCTACACCCTTTCCTCATCCCACCATGTCTAATTCTTAAGTCAAACATTTTTATTTATTATTATTAACATTCATATTTTTTATTATTTTTTATTATTTATTTTAATAATGTTTATTTTACATACATCTTTATATTTAATTAATACTTAACACAAATACCTTGAATGAAAATTTTTCACAGTCCGAGGAACTAAATCCGGGTTGCGCGCACCAGAAGCAGTAACGTAGACCATTATGCCATCCTGACTCAATTGACGATTTTCAAAAACTCCTATTTAAGTTTCACATCCATTTGGAGAAAAATATTTTCTTGGATCAAGAATACGGGATTTGTATTGAGTAAAACATTAATTCAAAGAAAATGAATAAAACTATTTGATTCAAGAAATGAAAATTCTTCAGACATTATTTTATTATTTTGCTTAAGAATATAATATTCTTGATTGAATACTTTTTGGTACTTCGGGAAAATAAAATATTGGGTTGCGATAATAACTTTTACCAAATACTAATTTCTTAATTCAAAAATTATGAGATAATCAAGTTAAAACAAGTATTTACTTATATTAATATTCGCATTTTCTTGACTTTAGACTATATTAGCGTTGAATTAAATAAAAAATATTTTCAAGGAAACAAAAGAATGATTTCATTCAAGTTTATATCAATATTTCAACTGAAAAAACAAATTATTTCATATTATATATATATATATATATAAATTTAATAATTTTGAAAAGCCATATAATTTAATTTAGTAGGTAAATGATGTTAACCAGTATTTGGCCTAATGGCTTAATTATATTTTGTTCTTAAAATCATATGACGCGTTTCGATACAGTATACTGTATATATTTATATATATAATAATATATATGTATGATCTTGACTTAATATATTTTACATTTCATAGAAGTCAATTAACTTTTTAGACGAATTCCATATTTTCTTGGACCAAGAATATGCGTTCTTCTGACAATCTAAATAATATTTTTTTTCTTTGTTTCTTGTTTTCAAGTAAATACTGTAAAAAAATTTTCGAAATTTTAGTTTCGATATAGAGGGTGCTGCCTTACTAGGACTAAAACGTCACACGTATGGAGAAGTTCTCATAACAGAAGAAGTTTCATCGTACGTCAGATATCGAACAAAAGAAAAAAAGAAAAGAAAGAAGAAGAAGAAGAATGCTTGGAGCATTACGTAAAGAACGAAAGGACGGAAAAGAAAAATGAAGGAAGGAGAACATCAGAGATGGAACAAGAGATGGAAATTGAAATAGAAAAATGTCTTCAAGAAGTTGGAGAACACGTTATTTTTCAGTATGAGGGATCATACTTTCCAGAAAAAATAATTAGTCATGGAAAGCGGTGTAGAAATTTCTACAATGCAAAAAAGTGTAAAGTCGTGGAAATGTCCAACAACTCCTGATATAATGATATGTCTTCGGGAAGATGTTATTGGTCACATTGAAATGTATTTCAAAAAAAGGATTTTATATAGTCCCTGCAATGGCAAAGTGTGGTTGGATCTAGACGTCTCATCAAAGTTACTTTATCATTTTTATTTATAGAAAGACATACTTAATATATCATTGGTAAGATATTACTAGCCATATTTCCAGATAGCACGTAAGCTTGCAGCAACCTTGTGGCAAGCTTGCCGCGCAATATTGCCAACCTTGTACGGCAAGCTTGCCGCAAGTTTCAAATGCCCCACCTAACCCAAGCTTGCATGGTAAGCTTGCCGAAAGATTGCAGTGTAAGGTTACTGCAAGATTGCACAGTAAGGTTATCGCAAGATTGCGTGGTAAGCTTACCGAAAGATTGCAGTGAAAGGTTACTGCAAGATTGCATGATAAGATTACCGCAAGCTTGCACGGTAAGCTTGTGGCAAGGTTGCCAATAACCTTCCCCAATCAGCACAGAAGTTTACATTGAAAATGAGCACTATGCGCACTTGCAATCACAAGCACTTACGGCTGCGCAGTAAATTTTTTTGACCATCCAGGAAATGGTGCTCAATGTATGTAAAAAAATTAATTTTCTCCCCCCAAATTTTTTTTGTTATATTACGCAAGCTTGCACCAAGCTTGCCATAAGGTTGTCAAGCAAACTTACATGGCAAGCTTGCTGCAACCTTCTGTGCTGATTGGCAAGGTTATTTGGCAACCTTGCACCACCCTTGCGAGAAGCTTACCGTGCAAGCTTACTGAGCAATCTTGCAGTAACCTTATACTGCAATCTTTCGGCAAGCTTACCATGCAAGCTTGGGTCAAGTTGGATATTTGAAGCTTGCCGCAAGTTTGCTGCAAGCTTACGTGCTATCTGGGTTATGGCAAAGAGACAAGTTATCAATCTTGAGAAATCCCTACCTTATCGTACGCGGAACGAATAAATATGGCAACCATATTAGGATTATTTTTTTGACTTCCTGTACCCGATGTTTCTCTTAAGACATTTCCAGAAATATACTTTTTTTGTCATCAAGTAGTTATTGCGCTTTTGATTATAATAGACATTTTTTTACGGATATTAACTATAGTTTAAAATATTTTTGTTTATAAATTAATTTTTGCAACATTAACCTCTAAAGTTAAATTTTAAACACCGAAAAGTGCGTGTAAAGAAGCTCTTTTTAAAACGGTGTGTAAAGTGATTCACTTTACGTACTGAAATTTACTTTACGCACTGCGAAATTTACTTTAGGCACCGGAATTTTCCTCACAAATATATAAGGATTGTTTTAGACCATACAAAACCACAAAATTAAAAAACGAACTTTACTTTTAAATTTATACACTCCTGCTTAATGATATTTTTCCTGATCTTTGATTGATTTATTTAATTCTATACAATCGAAATTATTCTAATAGAGAGTTGGAATTCTTCATAATAGGTACTCAACTTTAGAGGTGGGTGTTGCAAAAAATGTTGTATGATACACGTGCGTAAATCTGATTATACTCGTGTGATTTGCATCACTCGTATAATCACTCACTTTACGCACTTGTATCATAAATAACTATTTTGCTAGAACATGTGTACATAATTGTCAGATTAAGCTACCCATTATTTTGAAAAAGCATCCGCTAGAGGCACTTCGAGCGACTTTATATATAGATACACGGAGAGAAAAATCAAGTTGCGCTTACTAGAGACTCATGCGTAGCCCAAACTTTGTTATAGTTTACGTATATTTACTTTAGAGTGTCCAGTAAACGCAACTTGATTTTTTTCTCCATGTATTTCAGAACTCTTTTGGGATTAGCGGTCTACTGACTTTTATCTACTTCGTCAGACATTTTGGTTTTTATTTCTCTTTCTATCGTGTTAATTAAAGAAAGACGAAAAAGGAAAATGGTTGTCCGAAGTAGGTAAACACAAGATGGCATATTGAAGTTTAGCCAATCCCATCTTGAGATAACTTTTTTTGACACTATATTAAACAAGTGGTGTTTACACCCCGAAAAATATATTATATTTAGAAAAATATGTATTTTGAAGCAGATTTGATAAGAAAATTATATTACATTTCTTATATTTATAAATATAGGAAAATAAAAAATAATATAATTAGAAAGGTTTCTTGAATGAAACATACTTTAAAAAATAAAAACAAATCGAATGTTCTATTTATTTACTAAATATAGAAGTCTTTATAATTATTAAAAAATTATAAAAATAATAAGAACTTGTCATTAATATTTCATATATTTTATTATTTTTAAGCTTTGTAATATACTCGAAACGATTCGACTTAGTAGAAGCTACTTTGCGGATATTATGCATGACAGATGGAAAAGATGGAATGCACTCTCTGGAAATACAAGAAAACTTTTTGGAACTCGTAAAAAGTCGTGATGTTGAGGTAATATTTTTTCACATTATGATTATATAATGTTTAGAATTTAAAGTAAACAAAAAAAAACGTATATTTGTTCTCAGGCTTTGGATGGAAAATATCTATATATAGAATTCAGTGGAAATCTTGTTCCTGTTACAAAGTCTGGTGTACAGTTGAAATTTATCTTTAAATCTTTTCGACAAAACCGGATATCGTTTCATGTAAAAGTGAAAGATCCAACTTTAGATCCTGTCGCAAGAATGCTTTTTATGAGAGAACCTAAAGTAGCTAAAGGAGAACCTCCTCAGCAACCAGTTTGTGTACTAAATATTGTGCTTCCAGAGATATATAATGATTCAGTATTAAAAAGCAAACGATTAGGTTCGTAAAATATATTTTTATTTACTAATAGATAACAATATTTTAATACCACAGCACCTGTAATTGCAGCTTAAAAATTACTACTGTTTCTGATATATTTACCCAAATAGCAAGAATACATGCATATTGCTAGACATTTCGCTCGCACGCGTGCCAATTAACCAGCACGGCGTGACATCATTTGAGCACGCAGATGCGTCCTCATATGTGACGCACGGCGTGTGTGTCGCACGCGTGACGTTGAAATGCATGTTTAGTGCATTGAATTTCTATTTAAAAAATTTATTTAATTTTTAAATTATAGTATTTAAAAATCTATTTAATAGATAAAAATATGTAAATATAAAATAATACTTTTTATTTCACACTATTATTATTTTATTTTTCACTATTCTTATTATTATAAAAGTATAATTGAAATAACAGTAAGCCAGGTGAAGATGTTCACGTAGAAGTACGCCTAGAAATTCTTATGAATTTACACGTAAATTTCCGTGTGAACATTTTCACCTAGCAGAATATTGAGTTAATGTTCCCAATATTGATATAAGTTTTTATATAAAGTGTCTGTTGCATAAATCATATAATATAACTGATAAAATTAAACTCAATTCAAACATTTTTCCTTTTGGAGAAAGATTTTCTCGCCCTCACTGTATCCGGATATTCAGAATATTCAAGAAAAACTCTATAGGGATATCATTAATATTTATTCTATTATAAATTCCCTCCTCTTATTTTAATACATTATATTTTTTAAAAAAAAGTTTTTATTTCAGAAACTTGTTCTCACTCATTATTCCTCTTACATAAAAGTTGCATGAGCTAATTATTTACAAACTTAATAATTTGCGGGTGATAGTCTTAATATATATGAGGCATTTTACGTATAATGTCCCAACTAAAAATTTTAATTTCTCAAAACAACTGACACTAAGGAAAATTGTTGACCTATCTGGTGTCAACAAAACCAGTTGTAAATTCAGATGTTCATTACATGAACATTTTGCTTCCTCTTTACGATCAGCAAAAAAATTTGCATTAACATTGAAATAAACATATAAAAATAATATAATAATATAAATATTACAGTATCTATACATTTGAGTAAAATTTAAAGAATTAATGGAAGTTAGAAAATCAAAAATTTATATTTTAACCGAAATTTCTAAATATTAATGAAAAATAATATATAATTTATAATTATTTACAATTATATCGATTCGTTTTAATGCAAGGAACACAATTATTTTATATTTAAACATGAATTTAAATAAATATAAAATTTTTCAACTAAAATGTGTATTTTCTATTTTTTAACTTTCATTAATTTATTCAATTTACCTCAAATGTAAATATTATATATAATAATCGATTCGTTTTCATGCAAGGAATACAATTATTTCATATATAAACGCATGGTACCCTACTGTTAATTCCCATATGAGATCCTATATAAGATCGCTATTATGGTTTATTATATGAGATTCTATACGAAATCTTATAAGGATATCTCTTAAGAAGAATCTCATCAGTGCCCATATAGGATTTCATATAGGATCCCATATGGGGTCGAAATTTGAAAAATAAAATTTGCGAATATCTCAAAAACGGTAAGGGATACGCAAAATCTAACAAAATTTTGAGATCATTTTATATAAAGCAAATATATTTTATGTTTAAAATCTAAAATATATCTCACATTATTTTACAAAATAACTACTACATATTCCCATGTGGGATCCTATATTAGATCTCATATAGAATTCAATATGGACACTCATGAGATTTTTCTCATGTCCATATTCTTGGATTTCTTGTAACCTTCATTTTATTTCTTGGATTCTTGTAAGATCTCATGTGAGAAACCATAAGTGATCTTATATACAGGATCTCATATGGGAATTTACAATAGGGTAATGACTATTTTAATCTTACGCGAAGCAACATTGCATTAATATTACCATTTATTTTTTTTAATGCAATAGAATTAAAATTATTACAATCTTTTTTCTCCGACAATATTATTTATAAATATTAATTTATTAAAAGAATTCTCTTGAACTCCAAAACTTTGAAGTTGACTAACAATTTTATTTAATAAGAGAAAGTATTGTTTGTAACGAAGTAGAAGATATTATTAAATGACAAAAATTAAACATTTGTTTTTCAGTCGTTGAAGACTCGAACAAAATGGCTCAAAATTCTGATATCATGAATCCGAAATCTTTATCAGATCACAAAGAGAAGTGCGATGAGCCAAAATCGACTTCTCCATTGGAGAAGAAGGTTTTAAATGATAAGCTGCAAAAAAAACTGACAGGTACAAAATCTTTCATTTATTTTACATTTTTGTTGTTAAAGTTAAGGTAGAAAAGAAAAAAAAGAAGAATAAAGCAACCTTCATTTCATCGATAACATAAGAGTCGCAGAAGGTTTCTCAATGAAACCTAAATGTATTAAATGCAATTAGCTAGGCTCATATATAGTCGTCGTTCGATATGAGACTGTTTTTTCTATATTTTCATTTAGGAAGAAAAGTAAATCCTCTTATGACTTAAGAAGCCATACGGCTTCTCTAACTCGGTTAAGGGTAATGTATCAACAAATCGCAATGACCGAGGGTCGAGTTTCGTTGTCAGTAATCAACTGCTTGCATACTATTTACCATCAACTAGTTTATTGAAAAACATACTTGTGAAATTCATACTACAACAGTGAGTTTCTTAGTTACTTTATTTGTTGCATTTTAATTTATTTTTTTTTTTTTTTTGGTTCAAATTAATTTAGAGAATTTAATTTTCTTTTCAGGATTAATAATATTAAATTTTATTTTAACTAAAAAAAATTCAATTCTATAATGGAGTCGGAATGTAAAAGTAAAGAAATGTCAACAAATAATTGTTTACTAAATCAAGGGAGATGTGGAAATGTAGCTACTACACAAGTTAAACGCAAAACTAGGTCGACTCGAAGGCGTCTGAATGCTTTAATGAACAATACTTCGTTACATTTCTCCGATACTGATTCTGAAGGAGAATTAACAATTATAAATCCAATAGGAAAAAATAATACTTTCACTAAAGTCAATTCTGATTCTCAAAACATACCGAATCCCGTTGTTTCAGTAACTGTAGATGGAGTTGAATATCAAGAACCCGAGTATGTGCATCAGGAACATTTATATTTAACAAAAGAACGTCGTAGCAGTTTCGTAGATAACTTAACTGACGTTGATGAAATTTATACAAGTGATGTTGAAACACAAGATGCCGTAAAAGTAAATCCTATTAAAAATAGTTTAAATGTGATGTTTAATGGTCATCAGGGAGAAACTGACGTTGAAGATTTAGCGTACGAGGATGGTGAAGAACCAGGTCCAATATGTGTTGAAGCTCGATCAGATATTTTTACTGATTTTAATGGAGAAACTATTACTACAAAGGAGGGAGATGGGCCATTTTCGGTTGAAGTGAGAAATCAAATTTGTACAGCAAGAGAACAAGAAGTCATTTCTAAAATGCCGGATATTATTGTCATGCCGACGACTGATAGTGAAGATATGGATGCCTCTGACGAAGATGAGGAAGAAGGAGCTTGTGGACTTCAAGAGGAAATAGTTTTGGATGGACTTGCAACTTCACAAATCGTTATGAAAAATCTTAATAAAATGGATAATCTACTTAATGTTGCCAAAGATGTTTCAGACGATGGAATTAGCGATAGTCACACTGATGTGGAAGATCTGGAGTAAAATAACTTTGAAATTAGATAAAAGAAACAGAAAACAAAGTATATATGCGCAACTGATGACCTCGGTTATGATATTAAGAAAATGAAAGAATTTGATAACTGAAATTAATTTCGTGTTAATGTAAACTGCAGGAAAAAATTATTTTGAAACAATTTTACAATACTCTTTTTCATCTTTTAATTTTACGGATTTAGTATTATTCAGTCTAAAGTTTAAACATTTACAAATAATGTTCTTTAATTTTGAATTATTCTTATTTACTATGAAATTTATTCGGAAAGATTCCGGTTTAGTATCAAACCAATGGAACAGAATTGAAAAATATATTTTTTAGTAAAGTGTACATAAAATATAGTTCACTTAAGTCAAGAATCTGTTCAACATTTATTTTGAAATCTAAAAGATGTTTGATGCTGTACGGAACTCAGTTAGGTAAATTGGCTCCACAAAATTGTAGATTTAGAAAACTTATTACAAACTAATATTTTATAAAGATCTTCAGAAATAAAGTACAGTTTATTTACAGAATTTATTTATAAAAAACATAATAAATTATTATTAAAGTATCGATGTTGAAACATGTCGATTTCTATCAATGGAAGCATAATTGTTTGCCAAAAAATATAATGTTTTTTTTTCTTTTTGCTCAGTAGTTACTCATCTTACAGATATTATGAAAACAATGATTTTTTATTAATGATTTACATACTGTTTAACAAAAATTTTTTATTACAATTTTAATAAATTTGTTTTTTCTTCAAAGAAAGAAAAATGTTCTGCCAGAAGGCAAACACTAAAATGCTTACAACACGTTCTTTCAGATATCTATGTAAGCCGATGAATTTTCATAAACCGATATGTTGCAAATTTCCCTAACAAGTTTGTTAGGAAAGCGTAATAATTAAAGATTGCGTTAAAAAAACTAATACCATTAATAATAATTTTTTATTTTTTGAGATTGAAAATTAATAATATTAACTTTAAAGGAATAATTTTTACACTTATTTAATATTTTTTTTAAAGAACTGTTGTAGATTGTATTATATCTTAATACAATATTGAATTTATTATATTTAAAAACTGTTTTCGTTTTTAGATTTTAAACTTTTGTGATAAGAAAAAGAACATTTTTTACTTCTTCTACAATTTTTGTTTTTTGTAGATATGAGTAATAAAAGTTATGTGCTGATAATTTAAAAATATTGATAACAATGATGATAAAACAGAAAATATTTTTACATTTTTGTGGGAGAAAAGTGATAAACCTTTAACAAATGTGATATGTAGGAAATGAAAGAAGGCCATTTTTAGAAAGAATAGGTATTTTTTTATTTCATCTGTAACAGAAATTTTTAATTTAAAGAAACCAAAGATTAGATTGAATATTCTGTACAGAACTTATATTTTTGAGAAGAAAATGGTAACACTGGAATTTTAAATATTTTATATGAAGATGAATATGTACCTAACAGGCGTATGTTAGTTAGGTGTAAATTGAATCGGTTTGATAGTCAGATCAAAAATTGATAGTGTAAACTGAAAAAAAATTTTGTCAACTCTTACCACATAAAAATCTTAAATTTAGTTAAAAAAATTGTCAAATTTTTCTAAATGTTTTAAGAATTTTGTATCCTTGATTTTTAAAGTATTTACAATAGTCAACCCAGACAAATATTCGCAAAATGTCTTATAATTCTTTAAAAAATCTTGTTACTCAAGGATACTTGAGGTTGATGAATTGATATTATTTATCAACATACACCACTATTACAACATGTTTTAAAAATTTAACAGTTTTTTATTCACTTATTATTAACAAAATCTTTTTATGGAATGAGAGCTGAAAAAATTGTTTTTTACGTACCTTAACAGATGATATTTAAAGAATAGTATATTGTGCATCTAGGGAGGAAAATGGTTGATTTCCACGAGTGTGAAGTTTGCAGTTCGAGGTGTAGCGAGCGCACGAGCGAAGACGAGAACTGTAAACACACGAGCTGGGAATCATTTTCCTCCCGAGTTGCACATACTATTTTTTCTAACACACGTATACCGAAAGTACAAATATTTAATAAAGCATTGAACACAATTATTAATTTTTGAATGAAACTTTAATAATATTTTGTCGAAAGTTCAGAATATAACTTTTCGTAAATTGATAACCTGTCAGTATTAACAATTTATATTATAAAACAAAATCAAATTCTTCATTTCAATCCATCAGTAACAATACCGGGAGGAAAAGACATACTTTTCTCCCGCTACACAGGTAAGAAATGATGTACTTTCGGTGCGTGTGTTAAAAAAAATTTATTTAACTCAATAAACCTGGTTTTTAAGGTAACTATTATATGTCACTGATGAAATATAGATATTATGCATTTTAATAAAGCAAAGTATAATTTAAACTTATCGTAGACTTCTTTGTATAAAAAGAAATGTCGTTTGTATTAAAGATATTTAGTTTGAATGTATACGTACGTTACGTTTTCATCTCTAACGTACTGCATTCTGCGTTCGTTTTCTCTAACATTCATTCAAAATATAAATATATAATAATAACAAAAAAATTGTAAGCATGCTGTAAACACTGTTGAAAAAATTAAAATATTATAAGTATTATTATGGTTTTTTGAAATTTCATTTCTACATTCCCTATTGAAAATTCCTGTGAAGGAACACATACAGGATCCTATTTCGAGTTCCTTCGTAACTTCCCTCGTATGTTCATATGTGGTTGACTACACAGGATCCTGTAAGGAACTAGTGTGTGAACTATCATGGTTTTCCACATGTTGAAAATAATTCCAACAGGGGATCTCACGATTTTTCCTGTATAAGATTATGTACAATTTTTTTTATAAACAACTTTTAATGTAAGATCCTACGTAGAATCCGAGAGATGATCTTGCGTGTGTTTCTTCACGAGATCCTTTTTACGAAATGTTGTATAAAAGTGTTCCCCCACAGTACCCTTAAAGTGTTCCTAAATAGGTTCCTGCATGGTAACCTTAATAAGATCATTTATACTATTTTGTTGCTAAATAGTGAGTGTTCCTACGTGGTATCCTTTGAAGTTTCCGTCATAAGTTCGTACGTGCCTTGCTTTTGGTAAGTAGTGTGTGTTCCTACATGATATCCTTCGATGTTTTCTTCACTAGTTCGTACCTACCAGTACTCTTTATTAGTGTGTTACTATGTGGTATCCCTAGAAGTTTCTTTCACAAGTTCCTAAGTACCTTGCTCTTGGTAAGTAGCATGTGTTCCTACGTAGAAACTTTTAAAGTTTCTTTAACGAGTTCGTTTCTACATCGTTACAAGCATATATTCTTACGTGTGATCCTTAGTATGTTGACCCTATTGAAAATTCCTATAAAGTTTCCCACGTGTGATCCTTTAAAATGAATCTATTAGGATATAGTTTATATAGTTTTCTATATAGTTTCCTACATAGGATCCTACAAAGGATGTCACCAAAAATGAAAATTAAAAAAGATTTTGATTATTTTTTTTTATTTATATCATTGTTGCCTTGCTTGTTTTTCGATTTCTAGTATTCTGGAGAAATATTTGAAAATAAATTTGGAGGGACTGGGGATTGAACCCAGGTTCGACGCGCGCTAGCTAAAGACCCTACCCTATTGAAAAAACACGTATAATTATACGTATAAATATACTTGTCTATATTTTATAATATTTAGGTATATATTAATAAACAAAAATATATTCCATATTTATATATTCCTAAATATTAAAAATTATAGATACGTATAATTATACGTATAATTCTTGTTTCAAATTCGTATGTCTTATTATACGTATAATTATACGTGTTTTTTTCAATAGGGTATATACACAAACCTAACCACCGACTGCAGAGAAAAACGAAACTATATAGAAAACTATATCCTAATAGATTCGTTTTAAAGGATCACACGTGGAAAACTTTATAGGAATTTTCAATAGGGTCAATATACTAAGGATCACACGTAAGAATTTATACTTGTAACTATGTAGGAACGAACTCGTTAAAGAAACTTTAAAAGTTTCTACGTAGGAACACATGCTATTTCGCAACAAAATGGTATACCTAAATAATCTTATTAAGATTATCATGTAGGAACCTATTTAGGAACACTTTAAGGGTACTGTGGAGGAACACTTTTATACAACATTTCGTAAAAAGAATCCTGTGAAGAAAAACACATGCAAGATCATCTCTCGGATCCTACGTAGGATCTTACATTAAAAGTTGTTTATAAAAGAACTTGTACATGATCTTATACAGGAAAAATCGTGAGATCCCTTGTTGTAATTATTTTCAATATGTGGGTAACCATGATAGTTCACACACAAGTTCCTTACAGGATCCTTTGCAAAAGGATCCTTTGTGGTAAACCACATATGAACATACGAGAAAAGTGTTCTTTCACAGGAATTTTCAACAGGGTTTTATGTTGTAAATTTTATTGACTAAGAAAATAACAATCCAAAAAAATACCTGGTATCATAAATTTTTGAACTTTTATTTGCGCCTAAGAAATTGAAAATATTCATATTCTCAACGACTTGAAGTAAAATACGAAGGCAAAATCTTATACGAGTGTTTTTTTTCTAATTTTATTTCTTGACGTCAAATATTACAATAATTTTTCAATGTCTTGGGCGCAAATGACGGTTCGAAAATTCAGGATACCTGCTACTAATAATCAATTATTGTTAATTCCATCATTGTGATATAAAAAATTTGCAAAAGTGACTTTTTTTTGTCAATAACTTACTTCATGTTTCAAAAATAATAGAAAAAAATTATAATCACTTACAACTTTTTATGTCAATTAAGCGTATCCAGAAGTTAAATTTTCTTAACTGTTTATAAATTAATGAACTGAAGCCTTTAAATTAACTGCGCGTAATAACGTAGTAAAAGTTTTTGAATACTTTTATGTATACTCTTATAGTCCTGTCTGCAAATCGATAATGAAACCATTATGGTCCTTGGATAATAATGAGTGTATCTCCCACCATTACCAATCGAAGTGGAAAATAAAGGGAAACTTAGGATGCGTCGATACAGGTATAGCGTAGATTAATTACAATAGGCATGAGGTAATTAAAGAGACAGTATCCAATTAACTCCTGTCGCTCATAAACAATAGAAGCAAAAAAAACCCATACCGAGGACACCCTTTCTTCTACGTTAGGACTCAAACCCGCGATTTGAACATATTTAGTAAAGAAATTGGAACAAGTTCATGTAAAAGTTCATCTACAAATTTAAGTACATTTTCTTGAATTACATATGATCCTGTACATGTTCATGGATCAATTATTGTTTCTCAAATTTTTAGTATAAAATTTTTTTATACATGAGCATGTGCACGGTTATATGTAATTCAAGAAAATGTTCATGAACTTGTTCCAATCTCTTATACTGAATATGTATAATTTTCTGTACAGGAACTGACCAGAACAGGTGAAAGTTCATCTGCTGATGAACTTGTAAAAAAATTTTTTCAAGATCTTCTTCAGGGATTTTTAAAAGAAGAAAGGGTTTTTATCTGTCATTCTCACCCATTCTCTTATTCTCTTTAGTTTAACAGACTCTTATATTAATTATCTTTTCATATTTCCCATACGGTATACCTCCTTTAGAAGTAACTTGCTTGTCAAATTTATAAAATTGCTTTTTAAATATTATAAAAAAATTAAGTATTCTAATCTAGCCTAAAACAAGTTTGTACTGAGGATCCCTATTACGTGTGTTGGCACTTAAGTCACAAGACCCATTGCATCTATCCCCGTTAAACTCGATCTCAGTCTCCCTCCCTAAAGTACTGTCATCACAGAAAATTAAAAGGCATTAAAATAAGCTGCAAAGCTTATTATTTTAATCCAATTTTGCTTATTTTAATACCAAAATGGATTAAAATAAGCAAAATTGGAATAAAATAATAAGCGTTGCAGCTTATTTTAATACCTTATAATTTTCTGTGATTTCCAAAAGTCCAGTAACTCTTCAGCCGTGGGCTTGCGAATCCAATCTGGGTCTGCAAATGCGTCTTCCCAGTATTGATACCTTACTGCCGTAAACTCTGGATAGTAACATAAAATATGAGTCGAGGATTCTTCTTCCGCGTCACACAATCTGCATCTAGGTGAGACGTTTCTACCTATTTTGTGCTGATGATAGTTTAGGAGGTCATGTCTCGTAAGCAACCTAACCACTGTCCTAACTCTGATGTTGTTTCAATAGAGACTCGGAAAAGCCCCTGTTGAGTTTTAATCCCAACAAATCCTTGGCCTGTCTACCTACAGTGGTCTTCGACCACTTTCCCTACGTCCAATGCCTTTCAGCAATCCGAAACTAACTTTGATTCAATAGTCAGATTTTTCAGGGTGTGCAAAGCTGGGGTGACTATCCCAATCCTTTCTCGAGGAAATAATGGTCTGAAAGCAAGCTTTGAATTTCACTCTTTTGACCATTTTGTCTTGTTGTTGTTCCAAACCCAGTGGGCAAAAAACCATTTTTGTTTTAAAAACGTTTTAAGAAAGTTTTTAGAACGTTTTATGCCTACCAAATAATGTTGTAGAACATTATTCGAACATCTATGTTCTTAAAATGTTTTAGAACATTATTTGACAGACATGAAACGTTTTTAAAACGAACATGGTTTTTTGCCCACTGGCCTCCTAGCTCTCCATTTGTCCTGTGCTTGAAGTCTACTCATAGTAAGAGCAGCCTTTTTAACTGTTAAAATGTGTGGATGTTCTTCTGCCAGGAAGAAACTTAGGGTCAAAGTTGGTGTGGTTCTCAGCGCGCCAGTCATCCCTCTAAACACCATTGCCTGCAATTGCTCAAGCTTCGTTTTCATCGTTTTCAACTGGCTTCTAATCTACCAAACAACTGCTGCATGCATGCAGAAACCTTATCAATAGAACCATTGAATCGATCCAATGAACCATACTTGGTTTTAGACCCCAAGATGATACAATTGCCCTCCTGCAAACCCAAAAATTAATGCATAACCTACTATATTAATACTCTAAGTGCTTCTTCAAGGTCAGCTTCTTACCCGGCAAGAAGCCTGGAATAGAAAATAATTACAGTTACATATTCTATTTCATATTGCACACTTTACGAAAACGGAATTAAATGGGATTCAAGTTTGCTGCTGGCCGGGTATCCAGAATAACTTCTAGATATTTAAAAGAGTAAGAAAAAGAAACTTCTATTCCATAAAATACTGGTTTCTTAACAGTGGGAACCTTGTATTTCCTAGTGAAGATAACAATATCTGTTTTCTCTGTATTTACAGAAAGGCCAGTTCGTACACACCATCTTTTGACGATCCCTAATACCCTTTCTGTTAACTCTTAGAGTGTCTCTAACGAATGTCCTCTCACAATAATTAGAAAATCATTATCGTAGCTCTGTCTATAAAATCAATATATACATGTGTACAATTTAAAAATGTTATTAAACTCATTTTGCTCTAAAATAAATATTTTTACCGCAAAGAGTGTATACGCAAGGTTACTATGCTTTTTAGAAACCTGGAAATAATACAAAAAAGTTTTTTTCAAAGCACTTCATAAGAATTAAAATAAGCCACTCCAATAAAAATTATTATTGAAATTATCACGCGTGATAAAAGCAAGTATTATTATCGAACCCTTGTATATTAACAGCTCGTCATACTAAGCTTGCGTACTTATTGTATTTTATAGATTTCACTGACGACTAAATGTTAAAAAATGTAAGAAATTTAGTTAATTATTTTATTATAATAAAAATAATATGAATATGTTTCTTGGTTGTTGCAGAGACTGCCACATTCCAAGATTCCTTTGCAAAAAAAACGGCTTATCCCCTTGAATCTGTAGATGCTAGTTACCTTAATAAAATGAATGATGAAGAAGACGATTTAATCTTAGAAAAGCAAACTTATTCGGAAAAAAGAAAGTTTTGGGAGGACATTACAAAAAAGCGAAATAGTTATCAAAGATCAGAATCGGAAATTTCAAAATCCTCTCAGCTTACTTTTAATGAGAGTGACAGTGAGAACATTCCAAATGTAGCTTCAGAAGAATATACCCCTGCTTTTTCAGGAAGATCATCCGAGACTTTAGAAGATATGAATATTCCAGATATTTCAGAGTGTTCTGTTGCAGAAAAGGCTCACTATTTTGAAGAACAAATTCAAAAGGAAATTTCTAATGTTAAGATTTTACATAAGTCACAAGAATGTTTAAAAGAAAAAGAAAAGAATATTATTGCAAGCAAAATAGATACAGGTAAGATTAATTTAAGGGGAGAGATAGATTTAGAACGACCTAGGTTTTGTTGAATCTTATCAAAAATTTTAGGTCATTTTGTACACATATTAAATTGCATTCACAAATTGTTAATGATTTTATTAAAGTTCATGGTAAACGTTCTCCTTAAATTTTGAGTACCTTTTTAAAGTCATAGTTTTTATCTGAAATAATTAATTTTTTCAGTTTTTGAGGTTGACTTAGAGCGTAGGTACATAAGGAAACTAAATTACAATCGAAAGGATTGGTTAAAAATTCTTTGAGCTAGAGTATACACAAATACAAAAAATTTCGTTTCAAGAAAAAATCATTTGAAAAAAAACTGAAAACAACAACACAGAAAATTATAAGGTATTAAAATAAGCTGCAACGCTTATTATTTTAATCCAATTTTGCTTATTTTAATACCAAAATAGATTAAAATAAGCAAAATTGGATTAAAATAATAAGTGATGTAGCTTATTTTAATGTCTTTTAATTTTCTGTGAAATTTAAAGCAATAATAAATAAATAACATAAAGTAAAACTTCTTACTGGTTAGACGGCAATGCCTGTATCGTATAATATAATATTTCTTCTTTTCCATAAGCTTTGTTTAGAAATTATTACGTGTTACACGTTCTGCCGACAAAAAAATACGTTTATTCTACCGCTTATAACTTTTAAAGGAATGAAACTTTTCATTCTAAACTTCGGAAACATATTTTGAATATTTCTACTACCAATTTCTGCATTTAAAAAATCGATTTTTTGAACCGCCTAAACTTATATTCCCTATTAAGTTTTGAAATTATAATTTAAAACTACATCAAAAGTTAGAAAATAATTATGCAGGTACATCAAATAATAAAAAAAATAAACACCAATATATTTCTTTTTTCAGATGCAGAAGAGAAACAATTTCAAAGCAGCGATAAAAAAGAAGAGATGAAGGATTATGAAAAATTTAAAGACAAAGGAAGTACATCCTCCAATTTAGAAATGGAAAGTACATCTCAAAGTTTAACAAAAATGGAAAGTACAAATGAAAAAAGTTTACATAAAAAATTGAAAGAGTCTTCCAAAAGAGATAAATTGGAAGCATTAGAGAAAGAAGTTAATGTAATTAAACCAGACAATGTTTTTCTTCCTGATAGTAAATCTGACTCTAAGATTCCAATTAAAGTAATAGCGCATGATAGCTTTAAAGGTAAACTCGATTTTGAAAAAAAAGAAGATGATAAGGAGAAATTTAATATAAAGACAACGAATAAAAATATGTTTCAAGAAAAAGTAGAGAAAGAATCATTTTCAATACCAGAAACAAGTGAAGTCCAAAAAATTGAGAGAGATGTAAAAGAAGCATGTCAAAAACAAGTAGTTCAAAAAAAAGAAGAATTTGTTCCTTTAATGGAGACGGTAACTATGCAAAAGTCAAAAAATAAAATAGAAATAAAAAAAGAATTTAAATCAAATATTCCTGTTGCGATGTCAAAAACTGAAAAAGATAAATCAATTGTACATAAACAAAATAAAATGGAAAACATACTAGACGCATCTTCAGAATATTCTTTAAATCCTTCAATTTCAAATCCAATTGCTGGAGATGCAGTAAAAAAAACAGAATTGGAATCGCGCATTCCAATAAAACTTCAAGAAAACAAAGAGTTAAAGCCCAAAGAAGAACATCATCGAATAGAGAAAGTAGTTAGGGAAGAAGTTACTTCAACAAAGAAAAAAAGTGAAACACATATTTTTTCAAAAACATTTACAGCTCAACCGCAAGACGCAATAAAAATGTTTGAGGACTTAAACACCTTGAAAGACGAATCTGATGTTGTCGTAACTTCAATAATAGATCAAGAAGCTTCAACAACACAAGAAAAAATCGAAACTATGTCTTCAGAAATTTTAAAAGGTAATAATAAGTTTTTATTAGAAGAAAAAAAAGAAGATCATAAATCAAAAATGACATCAGAAAAATGTTTGAAAAAACAATTTCCCGAAAAATTAGTACAAGAAAGCCAAGAAAACATAAAGGAGTTAAATAAAACAACTCTTCAAAATACATCAATCATGCTAACGTCTGATAAAGAGATTGTAGATACCTCTGCTTCTCAGGCAGTGGTTCAAAGTGAAGCAAGTCAAAAAAGCATAATATTAGAAGACAAACAGAGAATAATAAAAGAAGTTGAGGATTTTACTAAAATGAAAAAAAGTAAAATTGATGTTGGTATGAAAATAGAAACTGATTTACTTAATTTGAAAGAAAGTATTAGTGATGTAACTGCTGATGAATACTTTCACAAGGAAGAATCCAAGTCATTTGATGCTAAAAATATTTCTAAAGAAGAATCTCATCCACCTTATGATCAAGCCATGACTAAACTAGAAGCAACAAATATTGCAGAAACGCTTGTTAAGTCAATAGAGAAAGAACTAAAGAATAGATCAATTTCTTCCGATGGTTTAAAGAAAGAATTAGAAGATTCAGAACATGTTGACTCTGAAGATTCCGATAATCAACTTGCTGATGATTTAACAAAGAAGTTCCATGATATCACAGAAAAATCAATATTACAAGAAAATATTGAGTCAGGGTCTTCAATACAGGAAGAAATTTTTGAAAAAGATTACACACAAGATAGTGTTAGTGTCAGCGAAGATTTAGCAAGAGATGATGAATCATTTCTTCAAGACAAAGAGGGTCTTTCATCATCTCGTTTTCATGTAACTTTAAGTTCTAGCAGTATTTCTGACCACATTGACTTGGAAGATGTAGAAGGTTTTGTATTGGAGGGTGATGTATTAAAATCTAAGAAATATTTAACGTCGGATAAACAGTATCCGGAAAGTAAAATGAAGGATTCCACAAAAGGTCAAGAAGAAACAAATTATTCAGAATTGAGTGAGGCTAGAGTATTAGAAATTATCGAACCTAAGGAAGAAATATATTCAAGAAAAGATTCTGTTGACATATCTTTAATAGAGAATGATGGAGATAAAAGTTCTGAATTAAAATGTGCAAAAGATTTAACAGATACTGATTTCTCCAAATTTACAACAGGTACGAAAGTTTCAACCTTGCATGAAAGTGCAGCTGCCGATGCACTTGACGAAATGTATCAAGCAACCGGTGGAAATTTACCAAAAAGTCCTACTGTAATGTCAGAAGAAACGAATGTGAATTTCTCACCATCTGAACTTCCACCTCTTAGATCTTATACAGAGAGTATCATAATGTCAAAGAAAGGAGACAGTTTTGAAATCCATAGCCCTCCAATGATTTCACCAAGATCAAAAGTGAAAGATTTAGAAATTAAACCTCTTAACTGGATGATTGGAGACGAGAAGATTGAAATTTCAGAGAGTTTACAACCTTTTCAAGAATTTAATAAAGAATTAGAAGAATATCACTCAACGATTGGCCAAGTATTAGACACTGCACCACAGAATAACGAAGAAATATGTTTTGAACCGGAACAGCAAATTGATATTCAAGATGAAGATGCTCCTAAAGACTTAAATATGTCTCAAAACTTTAAATCTAAATTTACAGTTACAAAAGTGACTGATCAGGAGTTAGAAACACAAATAACACAAGACAAATATCAGGAAATCATTCACACATCAGAAAAAGAACAGGAAGAACTCCAAGAACACTTTGCGGATGAGTTGTCAAATGAAAGAATAAATAAGGCATTTAAAGATCAAGAACATACAGAAACATGCTTTCAAGATGATTCAACGAATGAAATTAAAGAAATCAATTCTAAAAAAGCAAGTGAAACAAATACAAAAGGAGAATCTATTCATGAAGAGCATAAAAAAGTTACAGATAAAGAAGATAAACCAATTCACGATCCTAGTGCCTTGAAGATAAAAAAAGAAGACTTACAAAACGTTAATTTAACTTCTAAATATGCAATAACAGTTTTGGACCAAGTTGTTAAAAAGGAGATTGATGAAGTGAAAGAATCTCTACAAGCAGCTAAACAAGATTTAATTGAAGAGTTAAGTGAAAATAATGAAGTTGTATTTAACATTAAAGACTCTCCTTCAGAATTTCAATTTAAAATTCAGCCTGAAACAATTCCAAACGAACTACCATTTTTATATAGAGCATCATCTTCAGAAAAAGGTTCTGATCATGATTCAACGCCGATGTCTGGTTCACCAGTTGTTAAACATAAATGGAAAAGCACAAAAGATAAGGAAGATAATTCAGAAACATCCACAGTGGATACAAAAGACATTTCCTTACGAAGTGATGAAAGTATTTGTGATTGTAGTAAAGAAAACCAAATAACTGGTACCGTTACAAATGTAGATCAAATAGAATGTCAGCAATCTATTCAAAACTTAAAAGATGCTAGTTTTGATGAGTCTTATTCTTCTTCTCCAATTCCTGCAAGTAGATCTATTTCAGACACAGACAATAAAGATGACAGTTTTTCATTACAACCACCACAACCTGCCCCTAGAAAACGTTTAAAACCTTCCAGACCGAAAAAAACTATTACAGAAAATGAACCTGAGAGTTCAGGAGAAAGCAACTATCAATCTTGTGATTATGAAATCGGAAGTGGTAGCAGACCCAGTTCATCTGAATTCGACACAATGCAATCAGCTTTCTCAGGAACCCTTTCTGAATACGAAACAGCAATGATGTCTATGGAACATTCTCGACCAACTTCTCAAGATTATCAGACCGCTGCAAACACTCTGAGTTCTCGAGAATCAATGAAGTCTCTAAATTCATTAAGTTCAGGACATCTTGGCAGTGTAGATAGCACAAGCGAGTTATCAGAAACTTTAGTACCTTCTGAAACAGACATGGATGAAAAAGACGTAATGGACGTTAATCTTGAAATCGCTCTGGATGATGATCAGGTTACTACTGTTCCTCCAAAAATAACAATGGAAACTATTGACAGTGATATTCCTTGTAGAATGAAAAGATCTTCTGAAATGATATTCCCTCAGTCATCTAAAGATTCTTCTGTAGAAGATCATTCATGCAAAGATGTCATAGAAAACATTGTAGATAGTGAGAAAACAAAATTAGAATTAAAGTCTAGCAAAAATCCAGAGTCTAGTCAGTGCCAATTGACAGATCTAAATTCAAAACAAGAATTAGAAAATATTATAGATAATAGTTTAAAATCGAAATTGAATGAAGAAATGCAATCAGAGGCAGAAAGAGTTATTGAAGTCCAATCTGATTTATCTACGTCAACCATCGAAACAAAACTTGGAATTATTAAATCAGTTGATATTATAACAACTCGAGTAAATCAAGAAGGTATTCAAAGTGTTTCTACTCAAATAATATCCCGAGAATCTGAAAGTGTTGACAGTCAAGAGGATCAAGCAAATTCTTTTGAACCAGATTCATTAGATCAAAGATCAAGTTTTATAGATCCAGATGAGAAAAATGATGACCTACAAGTATCGACCAGAACCTGGCTTCAGCAAGCTAGCATGTCCACTTCTTCTACTTCTGGAATGTCAATTGAAACAGTTATAGAAAAAGATGATCATGGCCGAAATTCGCCAGATAGTGACTCATTTGAGCTCGTAGATAAACCAGACATCATGGATGATTTTGTTGTAATTGAAGAAGTAGGAAAAGAAGCTAAAGAATTTGATTCAGAGGGAAAAAGTATAAAAATTGGGTCCTTTCATTGCACAAGTATTAAAAATTATGACAGGGATGTAGAAAACCTAATTACGGAAAAGAAAGACGAAAAAGAAGTGTCTACTAGTCAGATATCTAGAAACAATGAATTATTTGAATTTGAATCAGAAGAAAGTCCCCCGCAAGCTTCTAATGATGAACAATATTCTCAATCTTATTCTGATGAAGAACAAGACGAAGGCCGTAAGAAGTGGATTGAGATGCAATTTCAAAGTGATGCTAGATTGTATGATATAGAATACGAAAGAGGACCTTTAGAAGACATCAAAGAAGAAGAAATAACTGATTTTGAAGCCGGAAGTAGTAAATTTGGTAGCATGGGAAGTCACAAGGAATCAGTTGGAAGTGTTGGTAGCATAAGAGGTAGTTTTGGGAGTACACCTGATTATGACACAATAATTGGCAAGAAATACTTTATAAAACCAACTGATCATGATAATGTTTCTTTAAGTTCCCTTCAAGAATTTGAGCATTTAGAAAATGCAGTTGCCTTGGAAAACTCTAAGAAATTCAGTAGTGGATCTCAAGACTCAGGAAGTAATGGAAGTCTTCCAAGAAGATACACAAGTAGGTCTGGGCATGGTGACGATATTTCTTTATCGTCTTTGAAAGATTTTGAAGGTTTAGAAAAAGCTTGTAAAGAAGCTCATTTAATCGAATTAAGAGCAAAGGAAGAAGAAGATTTATTAGACCATGAAAGTCCAGAAAATAAATTTAAATTAGAAAGTCTGACAAAGGCTAAAACGCATATCAGTGCACATGGTTCTGGGAATCAAAGTACTTCGGGTTCAGATGATTATGAGAAAAGAATTAAGGAAATCGACGAAATAATTCGTATTGCTCAAGCTAATGTTGAAAAATTGGAAAGGCAGGATGATACGACGGAAGACATTTCTCAGATAGAAGTAGAAAAAGGAGTTACAGAAGCTGATATTCCAACTACAATTCAGCAAACGCAAGGAACAAATATTATGGAAACAAGTACTGATTCGTTGGAGATAGAAGATAATTCAGAAATAAAGCAAAATTTAATGTGCCGAAGTTCGGATTCTTTGGAATTAAAAACAACTCTTGATTTACCCTCATTGAGTTCAGATTCACTAAACAACCTGAGGGATCCAAAGGATATTATAACAGAAATAGGTGAAAGTTATCATATTGCAAGAAGAATTTCTTCAGATTCTCTCGAGATACCTGAACGAGAACTTCAAGAGTCTGAAAAATTTTTACAGGAAAGTGAAACAAGTAGTAACCGATCTGAAGAATATGCAGCTGATGTTTCATCACGGTTGCTTTCGTACACAACTAATAATGATAAAACAAACTCCAGTTCAGGTGGTGGCACTTAGGAAGTTCAACACATTATAAGTAAGTATATAATTCTACATAAGAAACTTATAGGGGTTTACTCACAAGCAAGAAGACTAGAAACAGGAGGCCTAACTAGGATGGTCAAGTTGAACCTCCTGTTTCTAGTCTTCTTGCTTACAGATCCTGTTTTCTATCGTATTTTTCGAGATAATCACTTTTATTTATTACCGTGCGCGGTGTATTATTTATTTTCCATCCAGATTCATTTTTGCTTCCTCATGAGGAAGCTTTGCATTCGTGACGTTTTTCGATTTTTTAAATTGGGTTATATGGACTCATTTACATCTAGAAATAATATATATGAAGTCCTGAGCAAATGTTCAGATGTATGTGTGTGTATGTGTGTGTGCATGTCACAAAATATTGTGTACAAATTATCTCAGAAACGTTTTAACCAATTGTCCTAAAATTTTGTTTGCTTATTGTAATCATTAATACCTAAAATCTGACACAAGGATTTCCGAATATATTCACAACATTTTATTTTTTACAATTTTTTCAAAATTAAAAAAAAAATTTTTTTCAAAATATTTTTTTCTTTGTAAATTTAATTTTGGTTAGTAAAAAAACTTACTTCTTGCATTAAAACGAGTCGATTAGCCTATATAAAGTTCATATTTTACTGAAATCTATAGATTAAATCATTTTTTTGAATTTTTGAAAATAATCGTTTTTTGTATTTTTTGAAATAACTTTTTCTGATATAAAAATTTTAATTAATTCTTGTCAAAATTGTATTCCTGGAGTGGGATTACAAATAGCGACAGCGATACGAAGATTTCGCTACGTAGCGATTCAAAGCTACATTCACTTTAAAAATTTTTCTAGCTATCGGGTGACTAAAAAAATAGTATCATTTTGATAAATTTAGGTTGGTACAATTGTTTTTCTGTGTATTTTTTTTCTCATATTTGCTTTATTTTATAATTTAACAATTTGTTTTTTGGAATCAAGAATGTATCAAATTCATAAGGATTTCCCACGATGAAGAAATGAAGCAATTTAAAGAAGTATCTAAAAGACTGACAAATTTTTCAAGTGTAACACTTCAAATCTCAAAAGTTATAAAAGGCAATTCGAGGCAATGATAATTATTAATATTACCTATTATATTAACACTTTTATTTCCAATTTCTATCCTTACAAAAAATCAAGAAAATAATTCAACTTTATCCAATAATAATAAACTATTTACTTTTCTTTTTCATATTAATAATTAAATATTTATTGAATTTATATTTATTATCTTTTACATAGGATTAAAAGTTTCTATTAGACATTGTCTAAAATGGAAAAAAAAATGTAATTAAAAAAATTTTGAAGATATAACCTCAGAAATAGAATTTTTGTTCTCACGCAAAGGTTCACTAAAAAAATGTATAAGGCATTTTTTGTGAGTTAAAGAGTTTTTCAAAAAATGAAAATTTAAATTAATTTAATTAAAAAATAATTAATTTAATTTAAAAAATTTATCAATTTTAAAATTTAAGTTGGTAAAGAATATCCTAATTTTAAATCTCATGTAATTATTATTTTTAATTCTTACAATAAGATTAATTTTCTTAATTTTTATTTATTAAATTAAATTAAAAAAATTTATTTCCTTTATAAATTATTATTTTAACATTAAACTAGATAATTTATTTTTCAAGTTGTTATTTATTAAATTAATAGGTTATTTGCAATATTAAAGTATAATTTATTTCGTCACTAGTTGATTATTTTATTTGAAAGAAACAGTTGGCAAACATGAAGTTAGAGAATTGATTCCACCTTCATGTTGTATTTGTTTGCTACGTAGATAAAATATTTTAGGAAATTGACATGAATTCTATGTCAATGTCCTTATTTAGAGGGGTTATGTTTATAGTTTCTTCTAAATTACCATCTTGCAGTTTAAGGTTTGAAGAAATTGTCAACGGTATTTTATTTTGGCCATGATTTGGAACAAATTTCACTAAAAATATGTAAGTTTTTAATTCTAAATAACAAAAAGCGCTACATAGCGACTAGCGCTATTAGTAATCCCACTGCTGGCATAAAAACAAATCGATTGAGGTATACAAATTTTACATTTTACTAATATTTATAAAATTGATCGCTATTTTAGTTGTAATCCTTCTTTTAATCTTGAATATAAGTGTATCATGATGAGGAAGCTAAATGGTCATGAAATGAACATCTAGTTTATCTTCTTTTAAATTATAAAATATATAAGTAGTCTTTTTATATCAAATGTACTAACGATACTACATTAATAGACAGATATTTGTATTGATTTGTAAATGAATGATTAATTGATTTGAATTAAAGATTAGACTTACCGTGGAAATAATAATGAGAAATTAATTGTTAATACAATTTCTTCATTATCGGCATTGAACGACTTGGACATAATTATCATGAAATGCATTTTATATTTGGACGTATTGTGTATTTAGACTCAAAAAGTGTATAATTGGCTGTAGCACTTCATGAAATGTCCAAAAATGTTCGACACATAGTGAAGTAAATATTTTTTTCTAACACACGCACCGAAAGTACACCATTTCTTACCTGTAAAGGGGGAGAAAAGTATGTCTTTCCCGGCGAGTGGGAGGGAAATGACGTTTGTGTCCGTTTCTTATCCGACATTTTTAGCAGGGTTTTACATTTTCACTAAATAGTGAAATAGAGCTCTATTTAAATTTTTTTATGACAAATACGATTGAACAACGTATTTTAAACATCCCTGCGGCATAATTTACCATAAAGATAAATTGTCATAAAATAAACAAGAATTTTAAAAAACATTCATTTACAAATATTATTGGATTCGGGGGAAAAGTCGGCCACAGTAAAAAACTAAACAACATTACATTACTTTCCTTTTCTACTTGTTTCTAATCTACAAAATGTGAAAAAAGAAATGTTCCTTCCAAATTAAAACGAAAACAGCAGGAAAAAATTATTATTTGTATAATTTTGCTAAAAAATATTATGAAAAATGAGTTTTAACCTCAATGTTCTGGAGGTTAGACATTTATATAATGAAAAATGCTTTTAAATATTTATTTAATCGTTATTAGATGTTTATTTTGACTTTTTGACATCCACTACTTCCAAAAGTTGACTTTACTTAATTAAACTAACATTCTTGGTTTGTCAATGACTATTTTTTAAATGATTGCCGACTTTACCCCATATTTCAGGGAAAAGTCCGCGACAATAAAAGGGCGTATAAAAATTTTTCTGAAAAATAAATAGATTTTTTTATGTAATAATATTAAAGAAGAGGAGTGAAATTTTATATATTAAAAGTATTAAAGTTGTATTTTATGTTTTTTTCATAGTTTTTTAATAAAAACTTAGAAAAATCGCCAACTTCACCTCATTTTACGGTACTCGAATATTTTTGGGGATGCTTCTGATTATGAATCCGTGGTCAGTTAATTATAATAGAATTGAAGGAATTATTTATTAATTTCTAATGTAATTCTTTAAAATTTATGTAGAATTTTTATACAATCGAACTTTGTTCAAAAATGTCTTCTTAGTGACAGTGGTTGGGATTTTTTCATCAGAATAATTCAATAAAATTGCTTACGAATTGCAAATTCATATTGTCGAAAAATACATAAAATTATAAATATATCTTAAATTGCATTAATTTGACATAAGTAGGGAATTAAATGAAACATGAACACTTTTTTATATAAATCCTTTTACTTCATCATATTTTGTTGTTCAAACAACATTTTTAGTGACCGTTGAGTATTCCCAACGCTTTTCCGTTTAAACCGCGTTAAACCGATTCGCTAGAGATTCGCCCTATAATATGGTCGTGTATTACCAAACATAAATTGACCTCTTCAAACTATATTCTTATATTGAATTTAATCACAACTTTCGATCAAACTTTATTTTGAATCCATCTGTCAAAAGGAGGTCTGCTATTTTTATTTTGAACGTCTTATTATGATGTATAGTATTATATTTAATTTTTCAGTGTGTAATCCATGTTTTCTAATTTTAAAAAACTTGTAAAATTTAAAAACAATTGGAAATTTTGTTTCAGATAATGGACCATTTATATCAGTTTGGCACAAACATAAACAATAAATACAAGTATGGCGCAAGATGCTTTATATATGACACATTATTAAATGAAGAAAGTAAAGTGTCAAGAAATTCGTTTATAATTGATTAGATTTGATTATGCATGCTAATTTAAATTTTAGTAATTATAAAATGTTTACTTGCTAACACTTTTAACAGACTAACGTAATGTAAAGTACAAAAATAACCTTACATCTACATAAAAAACATGAATATGGTACTTAATAAGTATTTAATTGTTTTGATAATAAGTTATTACAAAACATTGTAGTGTATTATAAAGTTATTGTTTTATTTATGAACAATATTTCAGTTTAATACTATATTAGTATATATACATGTCTATAATACAATAAAATGTTAAAGATTCAAAATTTCTATTTAGAAAAATAGAAATTTTGAAGAGTACGTTTTAATAAAATAAATACCTAAACAGCACAACATAGGAAAGAAATATTGCCTAAATACTGCCGTACAAAGTTCGGAATATTATAGAAATATTAATATCTTTATTAGGGCAACATTTCGAAATAATACCTAGCTGAAAATTTTTGTACTAAATCCATCATGGCTCCTATTCTCGAAATTATTTAAACCTTTACAACAATTTACGACACTTCTGATTGGTGATTATTTTTCGAATCTTTACAATGATTGATCTATATCAATCGAAGTAAAAGTTCCACACAAGGAAACTCTGTTCGAGAATATTGCCCTTGTACATTTTTATGCACATTAACCTGATCTTATAAGTAAACCCACAACTAAAATGAAAAAAATTTTACTGTAAATATAATATATACAAGGAAAATTTAAGTTTATTAAATTATTTTATTAAAAATTATTTCTATTTCATGTGAATATCCTCTTGGGACTTTATATTTTCAATAATTTATTTATTGTTCTATGTAAGTTCGACCGTTAATTTTCGTTTCATAAAAATTTACAGTGAGCACACTTGCTCAAAAGACATCATGTGTGTTATTTACGGAAATAAAACAAAAAAAATGTATGAATTAATTAAATATAATGATTACTGTGTGTATAACTTCACCAGTAGTTTCTTTGCTGGTTCAAAAGTACAGGATCAGGTTCATGTACATTTACATGAACAATTTGAACAATAATTTTTATCTTCGTATAGTAAAATATTGTACTGCAATGTTATCTGAATGTGAACATAAATAATATTTAAATGCAATATTTCAATCCTAGAACATCAATATTAAAAAAATTTGCTGTTTACGTATTAAATATTTCTATCCTTATTAAATTTCTCAAATAATTAAAATTTTTGTATATGTCTATTCATATTTTTATCCAATTTCCTGAACGGACCTGGGTAACTTTTTTCATTAAGAGCATTTGAACCTTCGTGACGTCACAAATCATGGCGCATGACAAGCAAACTTCTCAGGTATGTGAAAAGCACAATTTTGAATATTTTTTAAAAAAACCTTTTGGAAAATGTTCAGAATAACATAGACTCTGTCTGTTATGTGCGGAAAATTCAAAATTTTGCGTTTAAAACGTTTTTTAAACAATGTTAAGGTCACAAATCATGGCGCATGACACGCAAACTTCTCAGGTATGTGAAAAACACAATTTTGAATATTTTTTAAAAAAACCTTTTGGAAAATATTCAGAATAACACAGACTCTGTCTGTTATGTGCGAAAAATTCAAAATTTTGCGTTTAAAACGTTTTTTAAACAATGCCTACATATAAGCAATTCGTGTATTTTTCCTTACTTGTGACAACCAACTTAAACATTGTTTAAAAAACGTTTTATACGCAAAATTTTGAATTTTTCTCACATAACAGACATAGTCTATGTTTCTCTGAACATTTTCCAAAAGGTTTTTTTAAAAAATATTCAAAATTGTGTTTTTCACATACCTGAGAAGTTTGCATGTCATGCGCCATGATTTGTGACCTTAACATTGTTTAAAAAACGTTTTAAACGCAAAATTTTGAATTTTCCGCACATAACAGACAGAGTCTATGTTATTCTGAACATTTTCCAAAAGGTTTTTTTAAAAAATATTCAAAATTGTGCTTTTCACATACCTGAGAAGTTTGCGTGTCATGCGCCATGATTTGTGACGTCACGAAGGTTCAAATGCTCTTAAACATATTGTAATCCTGCTTATGGCTTTAAATGATTTATTATTGATTCAAAGTAGACAAATGTCTAAGGCCAAAATATTATTGCTTTTCTTCAACAAACTTAACGAAAAGTACATGGAACGTTCTATTTCATTCTGAACTGTTGAATGACAGATTTTGTATAATAGTTATTTCTTAGTGTTCAGGGTGATAAATATATGTGCCGAAAAATATTTAATTTTAAATATTTTGGAAGAAGTACATATGAAAATAAATAATTATCTAACTTCTTTCTAGGAATTTATATCTTGTAAAGTGTTTATAGTTAGACAAAAGATAACGTTGCTAAGATCTAAAGTTTGCATTCAATCGTGAATCGACAAGTTATCGCTAATAAATCTCCAGCAATTATCTTTAATTCATACATAAAATAATATACAAATATAACAGATTTTCAAACCACGAAAACAAATATTAACTGAGACTCGATAATAATTTAATTATATTGTGTCATTCTTCTACGGATTTCTTTTTCAGAACAGAAACTAACTTCGATTTTCGTAATATTATTTGTTTACGAATCCATCGATATAAAATTATCTGTAATTATCATATGTTTGGACCATACATTGAACATCTTAAAGAAGTCCCTTGGTTGTCCTTATGATGTCCCTGAGACATTATCAACATTTCCCCAGGATCTCCGCAGATAAAAAATATGTTTTTCAAAAAAACCATTTATTCCTGAAAAAGTTATGTAATTGTTTAATTGCAGACATCTTGCAACTTTTAAAACTTTTTGACACATGTATTTAGTATTATCAACACTACGAAATGACAATGTTTAATGTGAGCAAAGAATATAAAAAATATATCTTTCCGCTCTGTATTACAATAATTTTAATATAAATTATAATTAAAATATATATTGATTTTTAAAAATATTCTTTACAGTGTTTTAGTTGAATTTGTAAACAATGTTTAAATAACGTTCATTTGTTTAAATTGTATCATAATAGTGACGTATTAAATGTCATGTTTTATAAAGATTTTAAATCTAAGCTGTTTTGTCTAATTACCCCAATTATCTCCTGTCCTCTAGTAAATGCTATAAAACAATTAAAAAAATCAGTAAGAGAAGTGGATTACGTGGTCTCGTGGACTTAATGTTATAAAATTGTAAATTTTAATCCAACTCTATAAATTTGAATTAGCTTAACTTTACTCATTGGCAGCGCATAATTGCTGTTTCAAGAAGCTGTAAGCTGCGCATCAGAGACAGTTAACTATTTGAATCAGCGGAATATTCTATTTCACTAATAAATCAATGGTTCATATACTTTCGTGAAAAATGTCATTTTCTTTATTCGCTATTTTATTAGCTGTAACCGCTGATTCGTAATGAAAACTTGATTCACTAGTTCAAACAGTGAAATTTTCGCTGATTCAAATTTAGAGAGAATATTTATGATAACTGAAAAACAAAATCTGAAACCCACACGGCACCGAAACTTTACTGAACATTTGGACAATTTTTGTGTATTTTAAAATAATTATGACTCAATGAAAATTTCTACAACGTGTTTAGTTATTCTCAAATTTGAAGATTGAAAAACGAACAATAACAATGCAATGTAATACAATTACATTCTCTAACAATTATTCTTAGTTTTAAAACTCTAACATGTTGTCTATCTGTAACTATTTAACTAAACTATTTTCTTAAAATGACTTCAAATATCAAAATCATCTCATAATACAACAGTCAAATTTTCACTTCAGCCTCGCACAGACATCAATACAGTAAAGTACGACATTGATGTTTGAAGAACCTATAATTAATTTTATAAAAATTAGGAACATTTTTAATGGAACACTTAGTAACAAATAAAAGCAGTAATATGGTATTTCGAATTTTATAATCTTGGAATTCAAAATAAAAATGAAAACTGATTTTTACTTATTTTTATGAAACACCCAAGCAGCTCGTAATATTATCTTAATAACAAGGTAATATTACTTCTAAGCTTTGTAATAATACGGTGTAATCTTACACTTAATCTTACAGTAATGCATCTTACATGTTAATGCATATGTTGATGATATTTAATTAAAAAATATACCATACCTTTGTAAAAAACTGAAACGAAAGTATGAATATTTTGCCAACAATAAATGTAGTAGGTCTAGTTCCTCTTCTCATTATTATAAGTAACAGTTTTTTTGTTTCAGTTGATAGATAATACCATTGTGTATTGTATCTATAATTAAATCAATGTTTAAATATATTAATTTTGTTCCTTACATTTACTGTAATGTAATATGAAGACAATCGTTATTTATTTTATGACCAAAGTTCATAACATTAAAACATTTATTTGCAAGTTATTAATTAAAAAGTAGAATTTTGTCAACTTCAAAATTTTTAGATTTAAATTAATATTTTTCAATTACAAGTCAGTAGAAAGTGAAATATCAAAATACATCGTGCTTGGCTACGAAGCTAAACTATAAGTAAATTTATATTATAATTATAATCTGAATATTTCAGTGGAATATAATATTAATTTTTGTAATATTCGGTACACTACTTCGGAGTAGGGTAAGTTGTACCCTTTACTTAGAGGATATACTGTACAAAAACGGTTCTAAAACATTAAAATTTATAAAACGTATGTAATATTTCACTAAGAGAAAATATATTTTTGATCGAATTTAAAATGTGGACTAAAAATTTCAAATAGAATATTAAATTAAAAAAAAAAATTTATTATTATTTTCGAAAATTATATCTTTTTTATAAGTCGTAGGTAGTTACTTTAACAATTTTCTGAGCCTTAAAAACATATCTACTTTGATGATATGAACATTCTAGACTAAATCTAGACGTAGATCAATTTTAAGCTTTCTAGACGTCGAGTAGACGACTATTATGGAACTTTCATTTCTCACTATGTAGAGGCATGTTTCCGTGGTATATCCGGTCCTGAATAAAAATTATGTTATTAGGGAGTTGCTGACTATTTACTGACTACTGCGCCTAGCAACAATTATAAACAAAGCTAGAATTCTTTGCAAAGTATAAATTAATGTTTTAATCTTATTTACCACTTTTTTCAATTAAAGAAATATTAAATAGATTAAAAATAAGTTGTACATGCAACTAGAAAGAGTAAGACTGTTATCCAGTAAATGCTGAGTTGGTAGTGTTAAAAGAAATATGTGAAACACTTGACACATTGTGTAACATGCAAACCTTAAAGCTTCCTCGGGATTATTCATACTTAACACACCCTGAATGACAGCATAAAATTAGAGTCTAGTTCAATATTCTTTTTAAACGATAAACTTTATAGAAGAGTCATTATATATTTTATTAAAATTTTTATTATTTATTGTAAAATATGGATCAGCAATTAAAATGAGCGTACTTTTATGATTTTTACAATCTTTAAACATTAACAACTTTCTTACCGAAATATAAAAATTCATTCCAAAAGTTTCGCTTTGGAGATAAAGCTACTTTTCGAGATAATGAAGTTTAAAAATTTCAATATTTCTTTTACATTTTCATGTCAAATTATATTTTTTTAACGATATTTTCTATTAGATGAAAAAGTGTCAGTTTCTAGAATCTTATATACTTTAAATCCATATTTTACAATAACTAATAAATTTTTTAATAAAATTATTTTCATTTCGTAATATTGATTCCTTTAAGATCATTCCTCGAAAGTATTGTAATTTTTTAAAATTGAGGAGCCGGGAGGAACAATTCGCCGAGCGCTCGGCTGGATGCTCTAAAGCCAGTCAAACGACACAAAATGTTCGAAAAATTGAAATTCGAAATTTTGATATTTAAAACGTATTACCCTGTTTGATATAAAAAAAGGAGCATCTTTTTTTCCTTTGACTTTTTTTCATAGGACAAAAACCGTGGATATTAAATGCAAAAAACTGAAAAAAAAATTTTCACGAATTTCATTAAATTTTTTAACTTAAATCGTCGTATCTTTGACAAATGATAATGAAATTACTTGTCATTTCGTATACACACTCATTAGGGTACATAGAAGACGACAGCATAATAAAAAATTAAAGAATTATTTATTTTTTAATACTAATTAATTATAAATAGTGAAGGTCGGTAATCGCGTTTTCTAACCTTTGACGAAAAAAAGTCTGTGGGGAACTTAAAAATTAAAAAAACTTCCAGTGAGACATTTGTTTATCATAATCATAATAAATATATGAAATAAAATAAGTTGAAATAGATAAATTAATATTATTCTTGTTTTATTATAAAATTGGAATTTTAAGAAGTATAACATTTAAAATAGTTGTATGTTTGTACTAATGTTGTGTTGTCCTTGAGCTGATCTTTAATGTAAACAAACGTTTTTAACTGTGCATTTTTCATTTTACTTGTCGTTTTAACTTATTCATTAGGAGAAAATATATATATGAGGCAAAATTCCTGAAATGTCCGAACAAAAAATTAAAAGTTCTCGAATTTAATCCATACTTTTCTAAAATGTTGTTATTGTTGGTGAAAGTCTAAAAATCAATTATTATTGAATTTAATAAAATAGTTTTTGAATTACAACGTTTTTAATTTTTGACTTTTGAAAAAAAAATTTTTTTCAATGTACAATATTTATAAGTAGAATGCATGAAAGTTAACATATATATAATGATTTTTAAAGCTTTTTTGACGGGCTACACGCTGTTAATAAAATTTTTTTTTTTGAAATAACATTTGACCTTGAAATTCAAGGTCAAAATGTTAATTTACGTTTATCTCAAAATCGGATTTTTTAAAATTATTTTTAACTATCTCAATGGAAAGCTTGACTAATTTCCTACAAAACATGTAATTTTCAGAGTGGGATCTTTTAAAGTTTTTGAGATATTAATTAATTAATTAATTAATGTTTATAACAAATCAAATATTTTACAAACAAATAAAGTTACCGTAATTCTGAAGTTAGTAATTGAAAGTTAACGTAATTCTTCATCCAACGAGCCCTATATGAAGTATTTTGGATAAGTAGATTGTTAATAAACAATTGCAATGTTAACTAATTGTTTATTAACAATCTACTTATCCAAAATACTTCATATAGGGCTCGTTGGATGCGGAATTAGCTTAACTTTGAATTGGTTAGTTTAGATTTACGATAACTTTATTTGTTTGTAAGATATTTCATTTTTTATTGTTATTTAACTAAAATTGAACAAAAATACTTCATATAGGGCTTTTGGATGCTTGTTGTTAGTAAAAAATAAAATATTTTACAAACAAATAAAGTTATGGTAATACTGAACTTACCAATTGAAAGTTAAGCTAATTCCGCATCCAACGAGCCCTATATAAAGTATTTTGGATAAGTAGATTGTTAATAAACAATTAGTTAACATTGCAATTGTTTATTAACAATCTACTTATCCAAAATACTTCATATAGGGCTCGTTGGATGCGGAATTACGTTAACTTTCAATTACTAACTTCAGAATTACGGTAACTTTATTCGTTAGTAAAATATTTGATTTGTTATAAACTTCACATGACCCAAGCATTGTCATAAATTTATATTTATTCAAAAATTTTATTATTTATTTAAATTTTAGTTGTGTCAATTTGTCTCCTGACATTAGGAAAGATGGCCATGTTTTTTCGAGGTGAGATGGCCATACTGTTTAAGTTATTGGCATCCTTGAGATTCCTGTGTTCGCTAAAAAAAATATTAATTCTGTGGCAAATGACATTTTTTATGACATATATTACAACAAGACACTCCAACAAAGATTTTCAAATTTAAATATTATGATCAAATAAAATAATCACTATTGTGTAATTAAATCTTAAAAACGTTTATAAACAATCATAATACAGGTCTACAAAATAAGACTTTTTTATATATATATCAGAGTGGTTTTCAATGTATTTTTGTGTGCTGAACACGATCCCGGGTTCTAAAATTGCGTATGAAGTCAGGATTTTGAGTAAAGTGGGGGTAAAGTCTTCAAAAACCGTGTTTTTGAGTGTTTTCAGTATTTTTTCTCCTTAACCTGACGTGCTAGAGACTTCTATCTAGGCTTAAATTAAAGTTTAAAACGTACATTTTAAGACCCATATGCGCATAATAAAAAAAATTTTGAAATTTTGAAAAAATGGGGGTAAATACCTCAAAAATATTTATAGGTGACTTGAACCTTTTTTTTTAAATTTTAAATTTTTTTTCCCTTGCGCATATGAGTCTTAATGTGTAAGATATGAGCTTTAATTTAAGCCTATATAGAAGTCTCTATCACGTCAGGTTAAGGAAAAAAAATACTGAAAACACTCAAAAACACGGTTTTTGGAGACTTTATCCCCACTTTACTCAAAATCCATCAGACGTGATACGTAATTTTGGAACCCGGAATCATGTTCAGGACACAAAAATAAATTAGAAACTTCTCTGATATCTCAAAAAAATTCCTTGTAGCCTTGTTGTGTTGGTGAGACAGACAAACAGACAGCGCTTATGAAAATTGCACTGAATTTAATCATAAATGTTCGAAATGTAGTCAGAACAAGAAAAAAAGACTTTAATCCCTTTAAATTAAAAATTTTGATAAAGCGAAAAGCCAAAGAATGATTTTAAGTATTGGCCATCTCTCCCGTACGCCTATAGCCATCTCCCCCGTACATTCCGGGAGAGATGGCCAAACGCGTTTTTTAAGAAATATTAATTTTAAGATTGTTTGCATTTAAAAAATTTCTCATTTCTATTATTTTTTGTAAGTTAAATGTTCAATGTTTAATTAGCAATAAAAGTTAATACATAAATCACTCTCTATTTATTTTTACAGACCTCTAAAAAAACTATGGCCAACTCCCCCGGACTTACCCTACAACATATCTGAACGCAGAATTTCATAGAGATTACGAATTTGATACTGAAAATTAGAGGTCTCATTTAAGAAAACCACTTTTTCCATTGTATGGCCCAACATTGGGCCCCGGGCCCAATTTTTTGGTTTCAAAAATGTTGATCTTTTTGTTTGGAACAACTTTTGTCTTGTCTTTGCAAGTCTCCATACTATATAATGAACGTGAAAACTAAGATACGCACGTCCCGTCGCGCCGGTTTTAATTTTTTTCTCGCAAAGTTCTTGCTGTCCCATTATGAAAATTAGAGAAGTTATTCTTAACATCATAGGCAATAAGTAGAAAAAAAATTTTGAAATCGAAGAGGTAGTTTTTTCAAAAAAATGACATAAATTTTTAATTAGAGATATCTCAAAAAATTTTGAAAAATTGTTTGTGGGCTTTCATTCTATACAAATAAAGAAACATATTCACAAAGTTTCAATAAAATTGCTCCAATCATCAAAAATTCTTTTGATCACATCCCACGGAATTGCTTCTCCTATGAAAAAAGTCAAAGGGAAAAAAGATGCGCCTTTTTATATCAAACAGGGTAATACGTTTTAAATATCAAAATTTCGAATTTCAATTTTTCGAACATTTTTGGTCGTTTGACTGACTTTAGAGTATCCAGCCGAGTGCTCGGCGAATTGTTCCTCCCGGCTCGGCAACGACTTTAGTTGAAATATAATAATGAAATGACTCATAAGTAAAAACTTTTTTTTTATTATTGTCAACCCTCTCAGTGAACCCGGTTCCTCATCTTGGAGCATGAACTGGTACCTTACTCCTTTATTTATTCTATCTATAACTTGAGATTTAGTAAACAATTCTTCCTTGCTCCCAGTCACTCTGGTTGACTGAGAGGATTGATTGTGAGTGTATAATATACTTACCAAGACACCTGTGATGCTTAAGTCAATTATACTGAGCCCAAATACAAAAAGGTAAGCAGTTGAATAAGCAGACTGGACATCATTGACATATCTCGAAAAGGAAAACATTTCAATTAATTAAATAATGTATTTTGCTATTCTTTTTACTAAGGGGTCGTCCATAAATTACGTCACACTTTAAGGGGGAGGGGGGTCAAAAAAAGTAAAAAAATGTTTGACGTAATTATGGACAACCTCCAAAAATTGATAATGTAATATAGGGTCAGACCATATTACATTTCGAATAAAGTCGTTGCGGACTATTCTTTAAAAAAAATTGATTCTTTCAAAAACAGGGATAAAATAGGGTGACCAGACGTCCTCCTTTGCAGGATTGTCTTCCTTTTTTGATGACCGCCCTCCAAAAAAATATTGTCCTCCTTTGTCCTCCTTAATTTCCGAGCGCAACTTTTTAATTTTTAATGAATTTTTTTTCTTATATAAATAATCTATGGACCGAAGAAAAGTCGCGACTAACTGTAAAGACAGTTTCCGCGATTAGTTTTGCCAAATTCAATATCAACATGTCTTGCGACGAATTTTCAAAAGTCTTGTCCAACAACACACTGTTGCTTAAAAAAATCCATTCGAGCGAAAAGTATGTATAGAGCTTAATATAAGCTTAAAGGAAATTTGGTCACCCTAGATAAAATATAATGGCGTGACCTTACATTATTTCTTTGTACAAAAATTAAATACAGTGAAAAAATGTATAAAATGTAACTCACGTCAGATACCTACTTTCCTCACAGCAAAAGAACTTACTGCAATTTTACCGCCGTAGACTTACATGTTAGTTTTGTAAGAATGTTAACAATGTTAACTTATAGTAAGATTAATGTAAACTTAACCCTAGAAGGAGTAAATGAATTTTCTCACCCTCTAAAAGGTAACTGGGGTGTCTAGACACCCCAACTTGAAACTTGTGTTAAAATGTTTCTATTTGACAAAAAACTAATTATAAATGGTGATTTTTATTGGTTTTTTAGTAAGGAAAAAAATAGTTTTATTGATTTTTTGATGAAATAAAAATAAGTTGAAAAAAACTTGCAAAAATGAAAAATTTTCCAAATTTGTCGAAATTTGAATTTTGCTGCGGGTATCTAGACACCCCAGTTATTCTTTCTAGGGTTAAAATGTCTGCCATACAGTGATCTTACACAGTAAGGCTAGAGTAACCTAACAAGGTAAGTCCACTGCAAGCTTACTTGATAAGGTCACTGTTGACATATATAGTAAGGTTATTGTTAGTACAATAACATTTTATCATTACATGGTTTTTGCCCACTGAAAAGTCTGCTGTAAAATTGCAGTGAGTTCTTGTGCTGTGTGGGAATGTGTATAATGTAAAGTTTATAAATTGATAATTTATATTTATTACTTCCTAAAGTAATAATTGAGACCGTAGATTACAGAAGACTCGCACCTTAGACTTTAAGCAACTTTACATACTGTATTCCACGGTCTTAATTTAATCAATTTTAGATAAAATTTTTGAAATACAAACAATAGAACTTTTCTGTGCATTGTCACACAAAGTTTTATTTCTTGCTGTAGCTTTTTTCGAAAATTAATATTATATCCAGATTCAGGATTTTCATTTATGATAAAAGTCAATTTATTTCTGTGAACAATAAATATTAAAAATTACAAATTAAATAATAACGAACTTTATTGATTCTAAATAATAAAAATATATATTAATAAACATTAAATTAATGTTCAGAAAAATAATTTACCATGTAAATAACAATTAAAACCAGTAATTGAGTTTACCCTATTATTTCAAATATTCCACAAGCATGCTCAAGAAACATTAAAAGAACTGTATCTCCATTAACAATCACAGCAGTACAAACGAAGGCAGCTATATAACTGTGGAATAATATAAAGTAGAAGTATTTTTCTGGATCTATACCAAAATCGGTTAGAAAAATTAACGGTCTTGGTTCATTACTATTTTTTACAATGTTATTCACAAGAGTACTGAAATGTGAAATTATGTAGTATGAAACATTTCCAAAGAGTCCATCTGAAAAATTATATACTTAAAAAACTTAAACCAGTAATATAATTATATTAAAATTGTTATTCTAATAAGAAAATATCTACAACTGAATATCTTAGAGTAAAAATTGCATTTTCTGCCATATTTGTGTAGAGTATCGACTTCATCTTTTTCTGTTAATGTATCCCAGTCATCTTGCATTTTCCAAAAAACAACGTTCATCTACCATAAAATTGTAATTTTTAAATGATTAAAAATTCTAAATTAACTCCAAACACACACTCATCTAACCGCCTTTTAAGAGGTTGTATGCTTTACTGAATCTAAACTAGTATATTTCGATACAAGTGGCCAAACGATCGTTTTGCCCATTACGCTCGCGAGGCAACGTGTATTGAACAATATTTTTCTTTATAAGTGCAGGCATATCCTCGTTTGACAGCCACTTGCACCAATTTAAAATGGCCGACTCTCTCATCGTGGACGCGGACGATAAGCAAAATGTTTTGGCCATCATTCTAAGGCCTTTCTTTAATATGTTCCTAAATGTTTGCGTTGCGTGACTGACACGTTGTTTCGCAAGCGAAGTGACACGTCATCAAAGCATTGATACGAATCGCGAACAAAAAGTTTGGTTTATGTTCCTCTTATCCCTGTTTTCTAACTTTACAATTTTTAATGCAAATGTTTCTCGGCGGTTTTTAATAATTTTATAATTATTTAATATTTATAATTAAAAAGTTCAGTGTCTTAAAAACGTGCATGCGTTGGCGTTATACTGAGTATGTCACTGTAGATCTCGCAATGATCCGGTAAGTGTCAATGGTATAAGTCAAAGTTGGATTTAAATGCTTAAGTTGGTTTGTTTCAAGTAATTAACCCATTAACGACCGCCAGGACGAAAAATTTACTTTCATTTAGCAGCTGTTATTTTATATGAAAAAATAATTCAAAAAATTCAGGATAGCCCATTTCTAACGTAAAATTTATCGCTCTTTTCGATTCTGAAGTCCAAATTTAATTATAATTAAATGCTTAATATTTATAACAATTTTATTGCAAAAAAACATGATTTTCTGCAAAAAAATTTTTATTCAAAAAATATTTTGACATGGAAAACGACAGTTAATTTGCTCCGGAACCCAAAATATCGCGTCCTCGAATACCCAGCTACAAAACTATATAGTTGTGAATTTCAAAATTTAAGATGGCATACGACAAAATGGCGATTTTCCACTAAAAAAATTTTAAAAATACTATTTTGCAAAAAATAATATATTGATGAATTATTTTTATTTCTGCACTATATACTTATGTTTTTGGGTCACTAAACACGAATACGGTATAAGTTTTCAAAAATTCAAAATGGCAGATCCCATATGGCGGACAATTTTTTCAAAAACTCAATAAGTATTGGTTTTCAAGCAAATTCGGTGAATTTTAAAATTTGTAGGCTATTTCGAATCCGCCATGTCGAATTATTGAAAAGTATTTTCAGATTCGTAACCGGCGACCCCAAAAACCCCCGAGTAACAAATTTTAGATAAATCCATTGAGTTTTTGAAATAACTGTCCGCCATATTGGATCCGCCATTTTGAATTATTGAAAAGTAACTTCAGTTTCGTAACCGGCGACCCCAAAAATCCCCGAGTAACAAATTTCAGATAAATCCATTGAGTTTTTGAAAAAATTGTTCGCCATATGGGATCCGCCATTTTGAATTTTTGAAACCTTATACCGTATTCGTGTTTAGTGACCCAAAAAACATAAGTATATAGTGCAGAAATAAAAATAATTCATCAATATATTATTTTTTGCAAAATAGTATTTTTAAAATTTTTTTTAGTGGAAAATCGCCATTTTGTCGTATGCCATCTTAAATTTTGAAATTCACAACTATATAGTTTTGTAGCTGGGTATTCGAGGACGCGATATTTTGGGTTCCGGAGCAAATTAACTGTCATTTTCCATGTCAAAATATTTTTTGAATAAAAATTTTTTTGCAGAAAATCATGTTTTTTTGCAATAAAATTGTTATAAATATTAAGTATTTAATTATAATTAAATTTGGACTTCAGAATCGAAAAGAGCGATAAATTTTACGTCAGAAATGGGCTATCCTGAATTTTTTGAATTATTTTTTCATATAAAATAACAGCTGCTAAGTGAAGGTAAATTTTTCGTCCTGGCGGTCGTTAATGGGTTAAAAACATAAGAATTAATTGCTGGAGACGGGTTTGAAATAAAAATGTCACTATTAAATAGATCAATACATTTGAAGGCTTTAGAGAGTCGTAGAATCAATTTAAGGCGAAATTGATCGAATCTAGGACAGTTCCAAAAAATGTGTTCTAGATCTTCATTCAGTTAGGGTTACAAGGCCAAGATAAGGTAGCTAATCTGTTTCTGATTAGTAAAATCAAGTGTGATTTAATGCTGCTAGGATTAGGACATGATACACTTTGTAAAACACTCAAGGAGTCAGAAAAGATGGCAACTTTTTTAAAGTTATTATCTCTAATATAGTCTAGAGTAATTAGGATTGCGAAAACATCAATGGAGAAAATAGATGCGTGATTATTTATTTTCCAAGATTGTATATAATTATTGTGCTGATGGGCAAACAGAGACACATCCTGCAAGTCTGCCGTTTTCGGATTTGGAACCGTCAGTGTAGAAACACAAATAATCTTTAAAATCATTATCTAAAATATCTTTAAAGAGAAGAGAAGGGTTAACGGAATTTTGAATGATAGAACCTATGTCGGTAACTATTTGAGGTCTGAAAATATGATCACTGTAAGGAAATTCATAATAGAAGTGACGGTATGATTTATTAATAAGTTGACTAAAATCTTTAGCTCTTCGATAGGCTATTAAGAGAGTAAATATTTAAAATTCCAAAACGGTTTGATTGAGTAGCTATTTCGAGTAAATTATTAATTTTGTTTATTAAGGGGTGATTAAGGTTCGAGAGAGTTTTAATAATATATTTTTTTGCAAAAAAATCAAATCTAAATTTAAGAGGAGGTTCGCCAGATTCTGACAACATGACGTTAATGTGTGTAGACATCCTATACCCGAAGATCAATCTAATAGCTTGATTTCTAAGTTTCCCAAGTTTGGAAAACAAGGAGTGATTTTTAAAATTGAGAATGTGTGAACCATATTCTAAACAACTTCGTATCAGTGTTCTATAAATAGTAAGAATAATTAAGGGATGAGAACCCCACCAAACCCCTCTCAAAACCTTTATGACATTTAAAGTTTTACAGAGTTTTCCAAGGAGAAACTTTAAATGGCAATCCTAAGTTAATTTATAATCGAGAACAATTCCTAAAAATGTAACTTGTGTGGAGGGAAAAATGCCAAAGGGGTTACGCCACCCTGAACGCATGAAAATCGGATGGTTTTTTAGGAATTTTTTTAACAAAACTGTTAGAGGTAGGACTTATTTACATTTATTGATGCTTTAATACATATATTAAGCTTCATAAATATTTTTAAAAAATGGTTTTTAATTAAAAATGGCGGAGATATAAGTATTGGCGTGGATCAATTTTTCCGGAGCACTCCTTGATGGTGTACCTGATTGGCAGTTCAATTTTTGTCTGAAACAAGTAAAACAATATTTTTCTTAAAAAGTGACAAATTTTAAACAGAGTGACGAAGCCATAAAAAAAAAAATTTTTACGCAAATGGAAGCACTTCAAAAATTGACTTTTTTTGGGCTAAAAGTACCGTATAAAAAATTGGATAAAAAATTTTCAAATTATTCAATCGAAAAAATCCCACGTCACTCTGTGGAAAATCTATTTAGGAAGATGTATATTAATTTGCAAGTCAATCGGTTGAATTGTTTTTGAGTTATCGTGTACACCGTCTCGAAAAATGTGGTTTCGAGAAAAACTCCAAAGAAGAAAAAAATATACTTTAGTGTATTATAACTTGATAATTTTTTAACTTACTATTTAATCAGCAATTCCTGAGCCATAATACTCTTCTTCTAGAATGGAAAGAATGTTCTCTGATTCTTTTTGTTGAGCTCTTTTTAATTTTCTGGCCTCCTTTGTCGACTCCTGCGCTCTCAGGTTGGCGACGGATATTCGGTATTGGTCAATTTCTTCGCACATTCGCTGTGCATTTGGTCCGATTTTTAAATTTAACACTTCCATAATCAAGAGGAGATTTTTATGTCAATCATTAAATAGGCTGCTGGCAATCCAGGATGCAATTTCAACGATTTTTACACCGCTGGATGTCACTTTTGGCGCAAGGACCAAATCACAGAGTTAACACTTTCGTTGTTGTTTTGTGTGAATCCTCCTTAACAACATTGCAATAAATTATTGTCACTTAATTGTTCATAGATGGGTTTGATGGCATCTTGAACGACTATAGGTAGTGGAGTTTTGTGATCATAATTTTTTAAAACTCCACAAGCTTTCGCCTTTTGCCAGTTGCACCAAGAGTTTTCGCCGGGAGGGCAGAGATGATGCTGTGGCTTATTGTTGGTTGAAATTTTATGAAAAAACGTTGCCCAAATTGCATTTTTCATTTTTATAGTGCAATCAGTGTTTCGTCTAATTGCAAAGCCGTAGTATACAGTTAATTCGTCAATAAGTTTTCCAGTTAATTTTCCTCTGCCACCAAGACCTTTATTTTCCTTTTTCACTTTTCGCAGATGTGTACCCATTCTGTTGTAACGCCAAAAAGAAAAGAGAAACCCCGTTTTCTCCAAGTTCCATCTCCTGATACGGTAAGTACATCCTCAGCCTTTTCAAAACTTGCTTGTTTTTCCTCCTCAACAGCACGTTTCATTGATAGTTCACAAATTTTCTTCGCAACAACATGAATATAAGAGATTCTTTTTCAATCGCCCCAGCCAAAGTCAATGTTCTGGGATTGGCTTCATACTTTGGTAAATTGTTGTCCTATATGATAGTAATAAATCCCTAAAATATAAACTCATTAAAAAAATATTTGTAGAAAGTAGAGGGGGTTGAAGTTTTGACATTAAGGGTAACATTGCCATTTTCTAATCCCTATAACTATGACAAAAGTTAATGGATTTTAATTTATCTATAAAAAATTTTAATGCATTTTTCACGTACTTTTCAAAAATGTATACGAAATGTAAAAAAGAAATTTTGACCTCTTTTTTTTAAAAATCAACCCTTATTTTTCGATTTTCACCCCTTCGGGAATTTTTTCTTTTCAT